ATGAAAACGACGAACGCGCTACACATGTTGGGTATCGCTGCGCACGTCGGAGTGAGAGCAATAATTCTAGGGCCAGTATTTTGGGGTATCTCTAAATTGATGACCTGTGGGGGCTTTTAAAGAGTCTTCTATGGACTTTTTGGGGTACTGGGGTTTTACGGATGCACGCAATTTGTAACCTGGGCATGTTGGGTATCGTTTTACTCGTTGTAACCTCATCTTTTATATTTCATTAAAAAAAATGGTATTTTGTTGTGTTTTGGGGCATTTAATTAAATTTTTCACTAAATATTGGGGTTTAATAAGGAGTTGCGCTAATATTGCGCAACATAAAAATTTGCAACTACCACCATTTTATTCTATAGGGTCTTGGCATTCAGAAAATATATAATGTTGGGGGGTTTTAAGTAATTTTCAGGCCTAAAATGTGGAATATAACATGGGTACAAAAAATTAAAAAAAGGCCTCAGTCATGAAGGGGTTAAAGGAGAGCTATGAGGCGAGTGATTTTTCACTCAACCTCATAGTTCGAGCCGACCTGCGACAATGAAACTGTCACACGTTGGCTCAATAGATCGGGAAGTGAGTGAACACATCCCGTCGCTCGATCATCTCCCTGCAGAGAGCCGTGACTGTCACTCACGGCTCCCTGTAGGGATTCCCCCCTCCCCACCTCCGATCCTCCAGCGCTGACTGGTGGAACGGACGGGGGAGGGGCGGGCACAGCTGGCTCTGCCTCTAGATAGTATTGAACACCCTGTGTACATGGAAGTATTTTGTTGCAATACCATTGGAATGAAACGAATATGTGCACTATTGGTTTTGGATAAGATTTTAATCTGCATAAATAACAAATATTTTTTTATTCAGACATGAGTTGAAAAAAGTATTTTTTTGGCACCTAAAAAGCCCCATTTCCTGTCCTTTTTGTGTTTTCATAATTTCAGGGGTATGGTGCCACGCTGTCACCCTTTCAGCCCCATTTCTGCACTCTACACTGCTATTTAATTTGACTATCTATGGTAGAAACATGAATAGGGGCGATCTGATTTGTTGCTCGTGGCAATGCAGATAGTTCATTTCGCAAATGCATGCGAGAGGTTTAGCGGTATCAGCATGGAACAAACTGTATCGGAGCAAATGTCGAGCTGAGGTTACCTAATCTCCCTGCAAAAGGCTCGACAACCCGATTCTGATTGCACAATATAATTATCATAAACATGCCACAGGCGGTGATTTCAGCAAATAATGTGGAATTGTTCAAGAAACTTTTGGACGATTTCTTAAGGGACCGTAATATACAGGGGTACAGGTACTCCTAGAATGAGATCCTAATAGGTTGGACTTGATGGACTAATGTCTTTATTCAACCTCAAATACTATGTAACTATGTAACACCGTCGTGTTAATCATTGATGTATTTTGCCTTGGGCTGACATCTGAAATTAGAGTCTTTTTTTTTTTTTTCCTTCAGTCTCCTTTTTTTTTTGTTATCTATCATGCCGGGGTTATATATTTTTAATTTTATTGTCAGATATCAAAGTCTCTGCCAGGTTTTACCTGCCTAGTTAACATTTAAAAGGATGACTTGTGAAATTTGTCATCGTGATATTACATATCAATTTGTCCTTCCAGCTTTAATGTGAAATGACATCCAAACTGGAGAGAGAGGAAAGGATGTGAGAAAAATTACAGTTATTCGCAGCTAGAAGAGGAATGAGCAGCTGAATTTAAAGGAAGGAGATCGCCGAGCCCGAGACGCGGAATTCAGAAGTAAGCTGTAAAGATTGCTGCAGACCTGTTTCTACATGTTGTGTTCAGGTGGGCCGCTTGGGACAAAAGCTAGATCCGTGTCATATTTAGACATGTGCGATTCGTTACGTTACGAATCGAAATTCGTAAGAATTTTCATGAAATGTCGTAGATTCGTAAGCATCCGAAATCCGAATTGCAGTTTACGAATTATATCCGGAATACGAAATTCCGTTAACGAATTTCGGATCCGAATTTCTTTGAAACGGGAACTAATATTACCCCTGTAAAATGTAAATGAGGTTGAACAACATGACAAGATTTTTTTTTAAATCCGAAATACGGATCCGCTGCTGCTGAGAGTTGCATTACAATAAACAGGCAGGAAATACGAAATTCCGTTGACGCATTTTCGTTCCGTTACGAACATTCGTTATATTGAAGTTAGAAAGCAAAGTGCATTTATATTGGAGTTGATGGTAGTTTTTTTTTTAAGTCCGACATACGAAATTCGGTAGAGCTGCAACAGTTAATCGATTTAGTCGATTAAAATCGACGATTGAAAACGTTACCAACGTTTTCGATCGTCGATTCGTCGGCTATCAATTGATTTCCCTGTTCGGGGCTCTACACGCGGCCTGAAGCACATGTCACACGCTGCTCACGTACCGCTGCGCCCGCCGTGCTCACAGGACACCTCCCACCGCACGCTGCTCCTGCCGTGCCCACAGGACGCATAAGCCACGCCCACCGCTGAAGCCTGTTCGCGGCTCCACACTCAAGCCCCGCACGCAGCGCATGCCACGCCCACCGAACGCGCACGCCGCAGCGGTCCAGCTCCCGACGCTCCTCACATCTAGCCGGGCCGATCACATGACGGGTGCGGGGGATGTGAGCGTGACGGGTGTCAGCCGGGGGACGGAGACTATGGCTGGGGACGAGCCGGCATCTATGGAGGGAATGCTCAGACAGTAAGTGCCCCGACCCCCCCCGGAGCCTGGGACCCAACACTGTGCACCCCAACCCACCATCATACCCATCCTCTGCACCCCAACCCACCATCATACCCGTGCTCTGCACCCCAACCCACCATCATACCCGTCCTCTGCACCCCAACCCACCATCATACCCGTCCTCTGCACCCCATTCCACCATCATACCCGTCCTCTGCACCCCATTCCACCATCATACTCGTCCTCCCTATTCCTGCATCATATCCGTTCTCTCCAATAACGCCAGCTATAGAGGAATACATCAGATCCCAGCAATAATACATTATAGTATAATGTACTATTGCTGCGATTTGCTGAATTCCTCTATAGCTGCTGGTATTCTGCACTGCGCCGCTTTATAATGTACTATATTGCACACCACACTTTTTTTTTTTACTTCCACCGCTCCAAGCTTGCTCCCGTGATGGACTACAATCTCAATACAAACTAGTAGTCTAGTAGTCTACTGGAGACTTTTTTTTTTTAAATCCGATTAATCGATTAATCGAACTTAATAATCGGCTAACTAATCGATTATGAAAATAATCGTTAGCTGCAGCTCTAAAATTCGGATACGGAATCCGTTAACGGAATTCGTATTTCGGATAAAAAAACAACTACCACATCGACTCCAATATTAACAAAGGTATTTTTGCTTTTTAACTTCATCATAACGAATGTTCGTAAAGTTACGAAAATGTGCCGAAACTAACGAAAATCCGTATTTCGTACGAATCCGAATTGAGTTTCGGACACAAATTACGAAATACGAAATAACGGATATTCCGAAACGGAACAATTTTTTTGACGGCGCACAAGTCTAGTCATATTTTGGCTAAAGATCTGTTAGTAATACAAACGATTGTGTTTTCAGGACTGCACTAGCCGTTGCAGACTGCGTGATCTGAGCCAAAAGCAGACCTAGTCAACTATGAGAGCAGTAGTCATTATAGTGCTGGGGACTGAAGGTGTTGGACCATTGGGGCCCATTCACGCTACTGTGCTGAATGGCACCCCAACTGACGTGCTCTACCAAAAATGTCCTGTGCACCTTTTTTTGGTGCGATGTGCTGCATTAGGGAGCCCTTCCAAATGAAGGACCTCCCCTAACGCAACACGAATGCATTGCATAACCTCCTTTTAAGGGCCTGTTCACACGACATACGTTTTCTGTGCTGACCTGATCCGTACGCTCCTGCACTAAAAATGCATCCCAATGTATCCCTATGTGTTTTATGGGCTACAGTTCTCACGTGCGCAGTCCGTTCAGGTTACGACAGAAAAATACTGCACGTTACATTTTGTACGGTCAGGAAACGCAAAACGCGTCAAAACGCGTTAAAAACGCACTGCACTGCAGCAAACATACTGACAGCCCCACTCCAGCAATATTTTTTTTTTTTTTTTACTGGAACGCATCAAAAACGCGGCAAAACACATAGCACCGCGTCTGCAGATCCGCACCTGATCAGGACCTGAAACTCATGTGAACAGGCCCTAATGCACCGCAATGGTATGAATGGTAAAAGATGTTTTGTTTTAAGTGATAGCCCAACATTTGTAAAAATATAAATGTAGATCTGACTGCAATGCTCACCCCCTCTCTGATGCCGTCCCCACCAGACTTGATGCTCTGGTCATCCAGCTCTGGTCCTTTTTTGCATTGAATGACACCCAGCCTCATGCTACATACTTATTGTGGGTGCAGGGCGTCATAGATAGTGAAGTGTGGCGGCTCCTGGTCCAATCAGTTGTATCTTTGTTACACATAGCTATGGGGCGTAGAATGCCATGACCACAACTGTTTGGGATGAGGGGGCGGGGGGAGGGGCTACTGACAGTTTTGCATGGGCTTGGGTTAGTTGGGTTCGTACCAAGCACATCACTAGTCATGGACCCGACACTAGTCATGGACCCGCCACCATTGCATCCTGCTCTCGCAATACAGTAATACAGTAATGCAGAAATCTGAATATTTAGACACTAGTCATGGACCCGACACTAGTCATGGACCCGCCACCATGGCACCCTCCTCTCACAACACAGTATTGCAGAAATCTGAATATTTAGACAAATTGTTTCAATTGGGCAGACATATCTCTAAAAATATATATATTTGCCCTTTGCTTAGCTTTGCCTGTTTGGACAAAATCTTCTTCATTTTGAGAGGAGATCTACAGGGCTCTGTTGCTAGACAATGGTGTGCACACTCAGGAGCTGGGAGGTTATATCTGTCAGTAACTGAACAAAGAAAGCACCTTTTGAAACTTAAAGAATTGTAACTACCGTCAAGCAAAGATTTAGTTTCAGTGTACTTATCCTTTAAGTTGCTTCATTGCCCATTTATGACGGGGGAGGGGGAATATCGGCTGGCTCCAGGTATCTTTTGAATCTGCTCATATTTTCTGACGTGTTTGATCATCCTGAATGGAATCTGTGTGGCCTCTGTACTGCCGGCTGCTCACACATGCAGGTGCTGCTTTTGGTATGCACAGAACCTCTTTCCATATTTGCGATAATGCATTTCAATGAGAGCTGTAAAGTGGCAGATTACGCAGACCCGGGTATACAGCGTATAAATAAATCGACGTAGAGTGGAGCACAATTAGTACACAGAGGCGTCGGTTAGAGGCATTACCATTCCGCCTAGCACTCCTCCTTCTCCTGGCGCTGCAATCACCGGCGCTGGCGGAGGGCTCCCCCTCTCCCGCTTTTGCATATTGTTGTCACTGAATTACTGTAATATTTCTAATTAATGCTGTGGAGTGGCAACGGCCACGTCGAGTGATTTAATTCTAGCAGATGACTCTTGAGAAAATGACTCCTTCCGATGAGACCAGACTCGCGAGCCTGCTAATGAGCGGTGTGTTCACCGAAGTGGAGCCCTTGTTTTGTAACGTAAGATGGCCTCCTCCTGGAGGGACACTTAGAAACCACGGCTCAAGCCTATTTTTATCTCGGCTAGCGTCATAACATAGTGCAACCCCAACGCAGTAATAGCAAAAAAAGTTTTGGAGGAAAAGAAAACCACTTGAGGTGAGTGAGTTTCGGTGCCTGCAACAACCCCTGGATATATTAAAGTGACATTAAACCCTCAGATTTTTTAACATAAAACAATACTGTAATGTGCACCTTACTGTAATCCATGGTTGTGTCCCTTCTCTTTGCTGCTCTTCCTTATAAATCTGTATCTGTTCTCATGCTGGGCAGAACTTCTGTTTTGCAGCAGACTGCCTTGTCTCAGGAATGGATACATGGTGTCTGTGTATACATTTCTATAGGCTTGTAACCTGAGCCAGCACTACAGGAAGAGGCCCTGAGCTGAAAAGGGAAGTTCTCCCCAAGCATGAGAAGACATGAGGATTTAAAAGGAAGAGCAGCAAAGAGAAGGGAAACAACAATGGATTACAGTAAGGCGCACATAACAGTATTGGTTTATGTTAAAAAAAATCTGAGGGTTTAATGTCACTTTAAATATTTAAGAAAAAAAAAGGACCTTTTCATGATCATCTTGTTCAACACGTCAGTCACCATGATTCCGTGGAATGCGGCAGGTGTAGACAAAAAAAATCGTGGTATCAGGTTGTGGAAGGCTTTAAAGCCATCTCAGGGCAAATTTACGTCAACCTACATCCCTTCCTCCCATTCACAGCGTTTGAACTTGCATGGAACATATTTGATGCACTTTGCGCCAGATTTATGTTGCTAGTGTAATGTTGTTCATAAATGAGGTTAAATAGACTCCAGGAAAGAAGACTCATAACTCCGGGCAAAAAGCTTAAAGGGTTTTTTAAAGCCTCCGTGTTTTTTATGCATATATCTCCTGCCAGCAAGCAGGAGATATATGCAAAAAGTAAAAAAAACAAAACACTTTAACAGAGGTTTAAACTTACCCCGTCTTCGCCGCACTCCAGTCCGAAAATC